CGCAAATCTTTCAGAAAGAATGGTTTTGGGTGAATAATCAGAGCAAATATTAAAAGGAAAAAGGGCTAGGGTTTTTGAGTTAATTTTCCCATTCTCATTTACCTTTGCACAAGAAAAAGTTTTTAAAATTTCTACATGTATAACTATATTGTATCAGGAGAAAAATATTATGTGACGCTAAATGCATTCCGTACCTGTTGATGCACACAGCCCATCCGGAAGCCATGTTCAAGGTCAAAGTTCAACGTTTCTAATGTGAAACAAACCTACAATGTACGTTGATATTAAATCTTGCCTTTAGATTTGATTGTTTTAAGTATGGCCTTGTGACCATAAAACAATTCTCAGACAATAAAAGTTCTCAACTCAATTTTTTTCTCAGAATTTTATTTTTTTCTCAAATTGAGAACGATTGCAGACCATAAAAAATTCTCAGACAAAATTTGTTCTCAGAATAAGAAAATTCTTAAGTTTGGTTAATAGCAGACTTAAGTAAATTCTCAGTCTAAAAATGGCAGCCGTACACAGACGAATAAGGCGTTATAGACGCTATCGCAGGGCACTGCCAGCTCCTCGGGTGTTCCGTGACAGAATGGATCCCCTCGCCTTGGATGATAATGAATTATTTGAGAGGTACCGGTTCCGAAGGGCATCAATTCTTTTCATTCATGACGAAATTAGAGGAAATTTGGAACGGAATACACACCGGAACATGGCCCTCTCGCCAATTCTCTCTATCTTACTTTGCTTACGATTTCTGGCCACCGGGGCAACACATCTTCTTATAGGAGACAGTCTAAATATTTCAAGAAATGCTGCAGGGAGGGAAATTCGGGCTGTAACCTCTTTGATCATCCGTGTTTTCTTAAGATTCATCGCCTTTCCCGTTGGAGAAGTTGCCTACAGAGTAATGGAGGGTTTTAGACGAATTGCAGGTATTATATGTTTCTTATATTCTGCATTGTAATATTTGTTTCTATAACAAACAGATGAAATCAAAACTTGAACTTACCCATGTAAATGTCGCTTAAGTCATGAATGACAACATACAAAAGCGCCACCTAGATTAAAATATGTATAGTCAAAAAATCTTGAACACAAAAATTAAATTGATAATGAATTTCAAATAGGCATATATGGAATATAAAATGCAGAAAGAATAACAGGTATAATATATGATGCAAAATATAAAAAGAAAAGATAAACACTTACGTATTTACCTTTTAATTGTTGGTATAAAGGGTCTCGTCACCAAAGTTTTTCATTGGTTAATAGGGTCTATATAACGAAGGGACATCTCAGAATGCAAAAAAAAAATTACCAAATTTTACTATTTTTATAGAGTACTTCAAAACGGAGTCATATGAAAACGTAATAAAAATATAGAAAATATTCTAAAAATTTCTGTGTATTAAATTTCAAGAGCGTATGTTTATTTCTTTTTCTTTAATAATATTTTTATTGCGACGTCAACCCACCTATCAATTGCAAAATCGGTTAAAAAAATCAGTAATATCAAATTGTAATTGCATTTTTATACCTATAATTTCTTACTTTTGTTTAATTTTAATAATTAAGAGAAAAAAGTTGCATTAAAACAGTAAATACGCTTCATTTTACTATGATGCGCGAAATATTGAACAATGAAAACTAAAGTCGGCCCCCTTAAAAACAGAAACTGTTCATTAAAACCCTCTCCTCTTTCATGTAGTATTTGTACATGAAAAAAAAATGAACTGCAAGAATTTCGAGCTTAACCTTATTACACACATACACACCCTCACACACACCCATCCCATACGAATTAAAAGATTTCGACATTCTGTAAATTTCCTTTTCCCTGAATATTTTTTTTTTAATTGCAATCAGTAATATTTCAAAAGTTTAAAACAGTTACTGTTTAAAGTTGTTATAGAGATAGCTCTTGAAAGTATATAATATTTAAATATATATTTTTCAAGTCTTCCTGAAAAAAGGTTTCGTCTACATGTATCTTAAAAACACTTTTTTCTCAAAAATGGTCCTGTGTGTAGTCTCATGTTTTATTTGTTTAGGTTTCCCCCAAGTACTCGGATGCGTGGACGGCACTTTTATCAAAATTACGATGCCATCTGAAAACGAGGTGGACTGGAAAGTTACGAAAGTATTACACAATCTCATGTAAGTTTTTTGATTTTTGTTTTCAACAGTGGTAAAGTTATATACATAGATATAATAGATATAGCTATAATTTTATGCTATTGAATGTAAGGTTTTATTGCATGTAGATTTTATATTGGGATGGAAAGGATCAATGAAACAAACTCTCTGAATACACCATGTTTCATTTATTCAAATGATGAACAATTCGTTCAAGTTTTTTAAAATTGATGCAAAGTTAAAAAAAAATTATGCTTAAAAAAAAGTCAATGAAAAAAATTGTAGACCTTATATTGCTATATATATATATATAGGCTACTCAAGAGAGATGGAAAAAATGTTCTTTTTTGTCAAATTGTATTCAAAACAATTTACTACATATTCTGAAAAACTTTTTATTCACCTTGCAACTTTGCCACTTCAAATTGGTAAATTGAATTTCCTTGTATCTTGAACACTCCCTGGTTTGGGAGTACCTATTGTACAAACTTTTTCTATATAACCATATATATTAATTATCCAATCATGACAATGAAATTGAAACAACAACAATAAACGCTCAGTTTAAAGCAATTTTTTAAAATTAACCAGGTATATAATACAAATATTTATCCCATTTTTGGATCACTTTTTTGCAGAGAGAGAGAGAGTGAGAGAGAGAGTATGTAACATGGATATTTTATTATATTTTGAATAAAATAAATTCTTTGAATAAAAAAAATATTCTGAGTACACTGTACATGTTGTTCAATTTCCTTTCTGGATCGTATAAATAGAGTTCAATATCTTCCACAATTATACCAACACGTCCTATACAATGTTTCACTTTGAAACCAATGGTTCAGCGCTACATGTATATCTACTGCTTGCTTGTTTGTGTTTTTGTTTTATTTGGATCCCCCATAGTTTGAAAATTTATCCTATATGCATGAGTCAAAAATTGCTGGATCTGCCATATTTAAAATTTTATAATTACAATGGAGAGGTTTATGGAGATTGTGTATACTTTCTTAACTTTTTATCCTTCATCTCATGCATAACCCGAGATCTCTTTCACAACTGAATGATCGCATAATAAGCAATGTTATTTTCTACGAATATTTGTCAAATTATAACATATCGAAGTCCCAATTTGTGAGGATATACTAAATGGTGGACATTGAATTTTCATGAGATTAAAACGAATTTTTTGTCGGATATAAAACAAATATCGTTGCTAATATTAATCACTGCATTTTATGAGATAAAATTAAAGAAAAATAAATTGCTCCCATGTTTTCTGGAATTATTCGCATCAATTGCACAACCGGAAATCGATCTCTTTTGATATGATTTTTATGTGTTTGTAGTCCAACTCGTTGTGTGTTTTTATCCCCTCGCCAAGGCTCGGGGATAAAAATCACACAACTCGTTGGATAAAAATCATATCCAACTACAAATCATGGGAGATCCTATATTTAATATATATTATAATACATGCAGATGGTATGCGACCCCAATTTTCGAATTACATCACTATGTGCAAGATGGCCTGGTTCAACACACGACAGTAGGGTATGGAGATCATCCGCGCTATGCCATCAATTCGAGAGAGGTAAGAAAAAGTTAGAAATGTGAACATCTATAAAATGTACTGTTAAAATGAATTCCTTTCTTTTTTCATAAAGTAAACAGAAATAATAAAACTATATACAGTCACAAAAACATATTACTATATGACATACACGGATCCAGGATTTTTTAGGGCGATACAGTGATAGATCTGCGCAAGTACATGTATGTGTGACATGTATGGCAATTATTAGTATTGATTAAAAAATTTAACGTTTTTTTTAGGAATACACAGTGGACTTTTACTTGGAGATTCTGGATACCCCTGCACTCATTACCTCATGACTCCTTATAATGTACCTTCAAACCGAGCCCAGGAAAACTTCAACAGCTCGTTGTGCCGTACCCGTGTTCTCATAGAACAAACCTATGGTGTTTTAAAGAAGCGGTTTCAGTGCCTTCATTACGGTCTGAGATGTTCACCCGAACAAGCTGTTGATTATATCACTGCTTGTGTCTTACTACACAACATAGGGATAGAAAAATCGGATATTTTCATCAGCAGTAATTGCGCAGATTATGATTTGCAGGAATGCATCAATCATGCCATGAATGTAGATCGAATTCCGCCTAGTAACGATGGTTGTAGGAAGAGAGATGAAATTGCAGATTTGTTTTTCTCTTGAGTTATTTTGCTATATTCAATTCACAATTTCTGTTCATTTAATCACACGAATACAATTGAAGCATAATTTACCCATGCAATCCGGCAGTCTTTACGGGAAAATATACAGGCAATATTAATATGCATTTGTCGAATCTAGGTAAAAATGAAAATTAGTGGTCAGAGATGTCATAAATTTTATTACCATTTCATACAACTCGAATGATATAACGCTCGATCAGCTTTATCCTTCTTACTTTCAACTCGTATAATACACATTCATTTATCTACAAAATATGTGTATTCCTATACAATATTTTCTTACCTCGATAGATTCTCTACATAAAATGTGATTTAAGTGAGTGTATCAAACCTTCCGTCATTCATAAATTTATAACTACGATAAGAACATTCTATCTAAGTTCATAAATGTCTTTAACACTCAGAAATATCTGTACATTGATTTGCGGAAAGTGCTTCGGTAAAAAATGGATAGTTAGCTTGGATTTCAAATTCCAGTTTTGATTTCTTGAGCATTAAAATTTCCTTTTTGAGTGTCAGGATTTCTTTGTTTTCATTTAGTTGGTTAATTTGCATCCGAAGCCTCTGGTTATCCAACTTCATATTTTCTTCTTCAAGCTCTGCTAACTTCCCCCTGTTGCGTGTATTGTTGCGTGTATCACCTTTATATGTAAAGAGAAACAGTAATCTGATTTATTGATTATTACTAGTATTTATTAATTGCAAGGGTCAAAAACGTAATACTGTGTATTGCTAAATATGACATATTTTACCTTTTCTAGATTTTCTATACGTGTAATTCGTAGATGTAGCAGTCGAAGATGTTGATTTGTTTATATTTGGTTCTTGTGCATCTGCATTACCTTGGTTTGTCTTTGATACTGTTAAATTGTATGAATAAAAAATGATAATTTTATCCAGAATTTTAATTTTTTAAAACCAAATATAGAGAAATAATTTTTTACCTCGAATGAAAATACTTAATAAAATTATTTACACTGGTTTTCCTCTTGAATTGCATTGTCACTACATGTAGGACCATCGCCAACTGTGCTGTCCAATCCTGATATTTCTATTTTTAAAAATAAATACCTTACGTTTACAAATTGAGTAAAATGTATCATTATTATATAGTATATAATCTTCTAATTTAATTTGTTAAAATCATTATTAATAAAATTAAAATTGAATAATATTGAATTCTTGCCATCTGTATCAATCCCGGATGCGATTCCCTCTATCTGAGGTCTTCCCTCCATGGACTGAAGAAAAAGATCCTCTGCTGTGGTCAAAGCTATGGGTTTGCCTCCCCCAGTTTTTGGTCTCTTTATTTGATCAAGTTTGTCCTTGCCTATATAAAATGGGATGGTCAATATTGTTTTAATTTAACTGTACTTATAGTTTTTCGATATTTAGACTGTATAACGTAATAATTTTAATACTTGCATGAAACAACCCCCCCCCCTTTTTTTTTAAAAAAAAAATAAGGTTTAATTTTTTTTTACTCCAACACCCCTCCCCCTTTTTTGAAAAACGCTTAGACTATTCGAACCTGTTGATTACATGTAGAAATTTATATGATACATTTATATGTCATTGGCGTCGGAAGCAAATTGAAAGTGGGGGGGGGGGGGGCTAAGTGTAGGAAAATTTACAAATTAAATTACTGCGTTGCTTGACGTTGTAGTACTTCTTTTTTATTTCTGCTTCTTCTCTTTTTTTCAAACTGAATCTTCTGTAACAGAAAAATTACATCATGTAATTAAATTTAATGATTAGGGAAAATTTTCCGTATGTGGTTACATGTAGTTGATTACTATAAAAAAAATTTTATGTTTGTTATAAGTATACTATAAACACTGGAAAATAAAGAGGAATGATTCAAAAACCACTACAGATACATGTACTTTTTTCAACCCGATTTCATAGATACCCCTTTTGAACCCCCATGAATGACGTGCGACATAACTTTTGTTGGGGTTCAAAAAAATATGGACGAATGTTACATGACTTGTTCAGAAATACTTTTTTAAAAAGTGAATGAGAAAATGGTTATTCTACAAGAATACATCACATGGAGACGAAAAAGACATATGGGTAATTGAAAACCCTCTTAAAATAGCAATTTTGGACAAGCGAGTTTGCATAATCCAGAAGCTGAGCATGGTGGATTACTGGATTGAAACATTCTAACCTAGAAGAACTTTATAAGGATTTTTCACAAATATCGAAGGTATCTAAATGAACTTGTAATTCAAGGCCGATTTCTAATTTCTATTTCTTTTTTTTTTCGATTGTAGGGACATATTATAAATATTCCATTGGTCCCAGCTTAACAAAGGGAAGTAAATCCTTTTTATATCATTCACTTGATCTTAAATTAGATTCAGGGGTTTTCCATTATCGTAAGTCGCATTGAGCATGTAACAAGAACCTTTTGATTTATAGATTCGTGTGCCTTTGAATTATTTTATGAAATGTTTTGTTTTTAAATGTTCAACATTTACAACTTACGCGTTTAACACATCACAAATTTCCTTCCACCCCTTAGACCTAATTTCTCCAATTTTCACCGTTCCGTCCCCTTTCATTTTCCCAAAAAGTACATCTTCCCTCTTCCCAACCTCTTCCACCAAAACAATTTCCTCATCCGTTGTCCAATTTGCCGACCTTTTCGCCATTTTACTTGTACATATAGAAATAAGCAGACGAATATTTATTTATTACTATTGTTTATTGTTGTTATGACTTTCTTACCATAAAAATCTGAAGAGTTCCACAGCCAGTGGTAAGAATCCTTGGAAACAGCAACGCGCGCGTCAAAGCGCGTCTTAACGAGTTAAGAAATTTCTTAAGTGAGAATTTTCTCAAGTCTGTTTATGGTCTACGATTTTTGAGAAATTCTCAGCTGAGGAAATTCTTAAATCTTGAGAACATATTTTGTCTGAGAATTTTTTGTGTTTATGGTCACAAGGCCTGATATAATCAAGTCTGAATAACCTACTGCATTTCCCACAAAGCCTGGGACAGACAACGTTGGCAACACAGTCATTTTGACAGATGTCAGTGTCTGACGTAAACAACAGCGTGCAGGCCAGATTGTCTACGTCAGCACACGCCGGGTTCAGCGTCTGTCGTCTGCTGAGCACTTCAACGGCGACTAAAATATTAAATGTGTCGGAACGAATAGAAGATTGAAAGATACAAATTGGTTTCTATAATCATAATCAAAACAAAAGAATATTTGAATGAATACAATTCGAATGAAAGTTTATAAGGAATCATTTTTATAAAGAAATGATGTTCGGTTAACCTGGACTTTCTTTATTTTCATTTTCTGATTGCCGCTTGGTAGTACTCGCTTTATTGTTGCATAAATCTGTAGTACAACAATTTGTTCCACTGCAGATCTAAATGAAAAATATGCTTTACGATATAAGAAAACGCCTTTAAAAAAATTACTAAATAGGATTTTAAACAAAAATATTATAAAATAGTTTTGGATTTACCGAAGATGGTGCGCATCCTAGTTTATAAACAAGACGAAAATCATCCGTATACGACTTCACTGAGATACATCTCTGCAGAAAAAAGAGACAGAGAAAAGTTTAACAAATCGTTACTTGTACACTGGACATCAACTATTTAAGAGGACATGAAAGTAATTAATATATTGAATAATTTCATACAAACTCACGTGGTCATTAGATGGACACTCAGCCGAGACATTGCAGGTCTGAGGATTGGTTATATCATGGCATGTGTAACATTTCAGTGCTGCAGTGAAGTGTGTTAATTTAATCAATGGATATATTTCATTCAAACGTTAACCCTTTCCCTCAAAATGCTTAAATTTCAATTGAAAAGTTTTCTTTTGATGATATTAATTAAAGACATAAAAACGTTATTGTAGATACATCAGAGTATTGGGTTTTATTAATAAATAATTATGATAATTAATAATAATTATAATAATGATCCACATACGACAAAGCCCACAGTGCCGTTTGCAGATAGATGCGAAACATGTTTCGTTACACATATTTGGATGTGATGACGCAAGTCTGACGCAGGCTGCGGAATCAATGTCATCACAAGCTAGAAGTCCCGTCGTGTACAAAATAAAACCTGCTATAATAACAAAAATAATACTAATCTAAAATAAACAAGGTTGCCAGTTATTAATCACGATTGGTTAAAATCTTCTAGACGTTGACGTGTCTTTTATTTCAAGTCGCATAATTGCGTCGCCATGTAGTTTTAAGTTATCACATTTTTAAGTTCTTTTATTTACATAATTATATCACTTTGAATCCGCCATCTCCTTTCATTATGCACTCACTTCGCAGTTTTTCTATATATCAAAAATTAGGTGTGTAAGCAAATTGTAATGGAAATTTTAAAACAATATTCTCTCTGGTATGAAGTTAGTTAACATATAAGCATACACAATGAGTTCAAAAAATGGTATAGAAAACACTGAATAAAGTAAAACATTTACCAAAAATTGTATTCCAAATTGCGGCCATTTTTATTGAACCAGGTTAACAAGTGTACTATTTCTGATAAGGTAAAACGTCGTAGATTGAGGAACACGAAAGCAAAATATGCAAAGTTTCTGTAATTTTTAATGCAATTTCAACATGCATCACTTATTTCTGAGAAAATATTTTAATCTGAAATATGTTTATTCTGATTTTAATATTTATACTGAAAATTCTCAGAGACAAGTGAATGATTTTTTTTTATTTTCTATTTAATATGCAACATGGGTCTTTTTAGTTTGAAAGAAAATTTTACGTCGTTTAAACCTGACATTTTGTGCTTAAGGATGCTGTATTTAAGGAATTCATGATTTAAATCAAATAAAGTAAAACAACATAAAGAAAACTTCATTCGCTTGTCTTGAGATAACTATTTTTTTTAATTCAAATCAGTCTGTACTGATGCTGTTCCATCAATGACCTTATATGCAAATACAATTTATCATTGAGTCAAATTCTGACTGACGTTTTTCATACTGATTGTTATGCCATTATTTATACAGAGATAAGAATACAAAACCAAATGTTAGTTTTTTATATTTAATGTTATGGCGAGTATTGGTCGTGGCATAATAATTCACAAACAATTTGGGATGCCATTTCAATTGGGCAAACCCATCAATTCAGATCAATCTGTGTATACACTAACCGTCCCGGGTTTACAGCGGAGGGTCAGCACACATCAAACAAAGTTCAAAGTTCAAATGTCAAAGTTCAAATATCAAGTTCACATATCAATCATCAGATCTCAAACTCAAAGTAGTTCAAATATCAAATATCTCAAAATTTAAATTTCAAAATATATCTCAAAATCAAATATGCATTTTTTAAGTTCACATTTAATATCACTGTCACATAGTACTACACTTAACTGTGGTTCACACATCAACACAGTCCAGTTGAGTATAGTACAAGTTTCACACAAACATTGTCAACAGTTGGCTTGGTGTGCGCAGATGGTCATCAATCAAAGATAGTGCCACGACGGTTCCTGACGCATGTATCCAACCAAGTCCAAATGGAATTGATGCTCCAAATCCTGAAAAAGAGGAGAAAAAACCCCAAGCACCAGAACTTTTTTGTTTTAATAACAATTGAACATACAACTTAATATCTGATGTGGAGGGAGGGAGGGTATTTGAGATTTACTAGAAAAATTATTTAAATTTACCAGCAACAAATTTAACGTCCATACCTTTTGAACGGTTCAGCAGGAAGGAAGGTGAAGGACAAACCCGAGTCTTTATATACTTCTGTAGTCAGGCCGAGCCCGACTCAAACAAAGTACTTCTCTCGTAAAATAAAGGCATCTATTTTGTATATAAGCAAATAAATGCCATTATTTATACAGATATAAGAATACAACACCAAATGTTAGTTTTTTATATTTAATGTTATGGCGAGTATTGGTCGCGTGGCTTAATAATTCACAAACAATTTGGGATGCCATTTCAATTGGGCAAACCTATCAATTCAAATCAATCTGTGTATACACTAACCGTCCCGGGTTTACCGCGGAGGGTCAGCACACATCAAACAAAGTTCAAATGTCAAAGTTCAAATATCAAGTTCACATATCAATCATCAGATCTCAAACTCAAAGTAGTTCAAATATCAAATATCTCAAAATTTAAATTTCAAATATATCTCAAAATCAAATATGCATTTTTTAAGTTCACATTTAATATCACTGTCACATAGTACTACACTTAACTGTGGTTCACACATCAACACAGTCCAGTTGAGTATAGTACAAGTTTCATACAAACATTGTCAACAGTTGGCTTGGTGTGCGCAGATGCCACATGGCTGCATACTGGCACAGTTTGCAGTCACCCCACACAAGGGGGAAAGCCACAAACCAACTGATCCACGCCAATACTGCCCTAGATCCCCCCAAACTTTTTCTATGTACTTACAGACTTGTTTGGATACACGCAACCCCTTTTTAGAGCAAAGTATTCAAGGCCTTTCTGAACTGTATTAAGAAAAATGGAGTTTCCTACTTCTGTTAAATGTACACCAGCAGGAAGCAAAAATTGAGTGATATCTTTGATCAAATCTGGATATTTCAGATAGCAGCCCCCTTGTTTCAATATGTATTTGGCTACTGCCCTATTTAAACGGTTCCTATAGTTTTCCATGGCCATTAAGTCTTCTGAATATCGCCATTGAACACGGGGAAGGATTTGGGACCATATAAGGATGGTCTGGGGGAAGTGACCCTTAATTTCATCTAAATCTGTCTGGAATGTTTTAATAAGTTCAAATAAAGAATATGCTCTGGTACCAATGTCATTGCCCCCACAATGTAAAACAATGAAGTTAGGATCATTTTCAAAAAGTGCAAGAGTTTTCTTTTTACTTCAATAAATTTAAGTCCAGAGTAGCCCTGCCACCATATATTTAATCCGACTCTTTCTAAAGCAAGGTTGGCCCCCGAGGGACTTTTAAAGGCTTCAAAGAATGCTCTTTTTATAATGGAGGAACCCACACACCATACTTGCAAGGGGGCTGCAAAACAAAAAACTTTCCAAGTTCTCATAAAAAATATACCTGTTGATAACTTAATGAATTTATAAGTTCTAACTAACAATAAAGTGACAGTTGTATAATAACTAATTCTGTTTTTAAATTGCAAGTTTATGTAGTAAGCACTTGAACAACTCAGACCTATATATAATATTACATATTTACATATTACATATAATAATAAAAACAATTCTATTTTCTTCTTAAGCCTGCCAATGGAGACCTAATGCAAGACTTGTAAACCTGTGATTTCCAACGACCTGCCTCCATTATAGAATCCTCTGAACAACCTAATTCAAATGCAGCTGTTGCCGCTCCTATGCGAAAAGAATGAGATTTGTAATTGCCCTCAACTTTACAGACCTTCAACACTTTGCCCAAAACTGATGAGAACTGTGATCTAGTCAGTGGTTCACCACCAAAATGACAAAATAATGCTCCCTTGACTTTGGGCCTTATAGACAGGAACTCTCTCAAGCATCTGATTGGACAAATATTGCCACCTACTTCTTCAACACATATTGTAACACCCTTGCCTGTTTGATCAGTTTTAGACTGTTTAATGACTAATAATAGATTTGCTTTATCTTGATCAAATTTAATATCTGAAATTTTCAAAATTGAATTACTGTCATTGCCTACAGTTAAACAAATTTCTCCCACTCTAAGAAAAGCAAAGAAAGCCAATGAATATGCTGCCTTAAAAAGCAAAGTCTCATATCTATTGAAACATACTGAATGTAACATATGCAATATCCTATCAAGTAAAGTGTGGGTGATAGGAAGTCTAGAATCAGCTGATTTGTTAAGCCTCCTCATCCCTTCTAATAGTTTTGTAACCATGAAATTCCTAGTGACATCATTACAATTTTGAATTTTGCAGTTAAAGCTTATTGCTGATACATAAGATCTAGCTGTTGAAGATGAGTATCCTAGGCGTGACAAGTAAGCAATGTATTGAATCACATGACTAGGTAATGGTGGCCAGATGTCGTCCAAGTCAAAAGTAGACCTGGATTTGTGAAATGATGCGAGTCTTGTCTGATATGACAGCTTGGTGTTCGTAGAGATTGATGCCTGAAGTAACCGGTCTATTTCAAATTGTATATCATGTTCACTAACTCCCTTGGTGGGACTTCTGGATTTGGCTTGGCTCCTGGTGCCAATTCCTTGAACCTCTGCCACTGTTTCCCAGAAATAGAGTCCGCAATTTTATTATCAATACTAGAAATATGTTCTGCTTTAAAAACAACATTATTTACCATTAGTTTCAGAACAAAATGCCGAACAAGCTCCATAATTCTCTTGGATTTAGTTATTTGCTTATTGATTATACTTACTAGAGCTATATTGTCAATATGAAATAAGACCTTTTTCTTAACTAGCAAATTCCCCCAAATTTCAATTGCTATCACTACTGGAATTAACTCAAGAAATGTAATGTCCTTCATAATTTTCTGATTCTCCCAATGTTTGGGCCAAGGAAGAAAAAACCGACTACCCTGAAAATAAGCCCCACATCCTAGAGCATTAGAACCCGCACTATCGGTGTAAAATTCTAAGATATTAGAATCCTGCCAATCCGTATCTGAGAAGTATGTTACCCCGTTAAAGTGCTTCAGGAAAATCTCCCAAATTTTTAGGTCACTTTTCATATCTAAAGTTAATCTGATGTGATGGAATGGCTTAAACCCCAGACATTGCGTCATAAAATCTACGAATAAAAGCCCTACTAGATCTAATTGCTTTACAAAAAAAATTAAGAGTTCCCACTAATGATTGCAATTCCTTAAGAGTCACTTTTCGCCTAACAAGAAAATCGTCGATAGTTTGTAATAAAGCATCAACTTTATCTTGGGGTATTTTAATGGTCATTTCTACTGTATCAATTACAAAACCCAGATATGTTAACTTTGTGGTAGGCCCTGTGGTTTTTTCATCAGCTAACGGAACCCCAATGTCAAAGGCTAGTGATATAAATTGAGACATAAGAAGATCACATTCATGAGTTTCTTTTCTCCCTGCAAAAATAAAATCATCCAGATAATGATCCAAAGTTTTAAGTCCCGATTTGTACCCTGTCAGCCAATGTAAAAACGTGGCAAAAGTTTCCCAAATTTTACAGCTAATGCTACACCCCATAGGTAAACATTTATCTATATAGTACAATCCATCTATCGAAAATCCAAGCAAATCAAAATCTCCTGGGTAAATGGGTATCAACCTAAAGGCACTCTTGACATCAACTTTTCCTAATAACGCCCCCCTTCCCAACCTAGCAATCATGTCTATTACTCCATCAAATGAAGAATATTGTACTGAGCAGAGCTCAGGATCGATTAAATAGTTAATACCACTTAACAGGTCGGAGAGAATACTCGAAATTGGGTATTATCCGTGAAATCGCGAATAACACTCGATATTAGGGTATCGTTGAATCCGCGAAATCGTGTATAGGAGGTGTAATCACCTAATAAAACTTAAA